GTGGGCGGTCGCTATGTCACTTGAAGTTTGCGCGCGCATTAAGGACAAAATAAACTGCATGTAGTAGGATAAATAAACAGGGTATAAAATTCGTAAACCCTACAACATCAGATTTATTAAACTAGTGCAGTAATTTGCATTTGTTTTTCCCTAAAGGCTCGGAACAAATGAAAATTACTACACCCGGAAGATTGTAAAACATAATAAGAGTGTATAATTAAAAATAATAGAGATATAAGTTTTCATAATGTAATATGAACATAAAAAATGGTTTGTGTTTTGCGTTGTATGTTGCATGTAAGAAACGAGGATTTCCTGTATCAGTCAGTATGCACTGTACTCGTATGCACGTGTTCACTTTTAACTAAAACTAGGAAATAACACCGAATACACGGCAAAGTATGGTTGAATGTAAGTGAACTTATACCTACTGCGTGCGTGACGCGAAACAGCGTCCGACACCAAATTGTCTAGCTTCGCCGCGGCGTCACGACACGTCCTTCCCTGGCCACATCCCCTCCTCAAGGATGTTTTTTATTACGTGCAGATTTAGCCAAACCGGTCCATTCCTGTCCGCGTCACACAGCGTAGCCAGACCTGGCTGTACAGTTGGTGAAATAACAGTGCAGCATAAATACAAGTAAATAGTACTAATGAATGATTGTATCATAGTAGCTGTCAACATTGGAAGTTAAGCAAGGAAATAATACCGAATACACGGCTAGAAAAATACTACTTTGAATGAAATTAAACATTTACCACGTGTGTGACTCGAACCATGGAAGGTACTAACGTTAGTACCTTCCATGCTCGAACACACGTTTTGGTTGTGAACTTTTCTGCGAATGTTTCTGTAAACAATAATGTATTTTAACACGTGATCGAATACGACCCATCGCGACGACCGAAAGATTGTCCTGATAATGTAAACTTCACTGATACGAGCTGATCATGTGATGTGTGAACTTTACTCAACATAACTCTAGTCACATGGTGCTGACAACATTCAGCATGGAGGTTGTTTTATCTGGCATGTCCTTGTCTCTGCTGTTGATTATTGCCCTCATCGTCTCATTCATTGTGGAATTTTTTGTCGGCAAGGTCAGTATTACTTTATTACCATAATATATTAAAATCGTCATGTGTATATAAATCATCAGACTGTAAAAGCTCTTGCAAATAATATAGTAGCCAGGCAGTAGTTACGTTATTTGCTGAACTTTGTGCACCCATGCTTGTTGTTGGACAGTTACTCTACAAGGTAATGTATACGGGGTTCAATGGAATGCAGAATAAATTTTATGCTGGATTTTTTTTTTTATATTTCCTACTTTTGTGTTGCTTATTTTACGTTTCTAACGTTTTATCCCGTTTTATAGCCTCATATT